ATATCGAGCCTAATCAAAGCAGGAATAACCACAAAATGTGTAGGTTAGCACACAAGAGATTGCGCAATAGGAAGTCACAGATATGGGATTAGGGATAGAAACAGGTAGACTTGGCAGAGCCTAGAGCTAGTTGGCTTACAGTAAGCCTGTTTTACAATAGCAAAGTCTTGACTATGAGAATTATTCAGGGGCTTTAGCCTCTAGTTACTCACCCAGACGCAGGGGGTGGGAAATAACGGCTCGAGTAGCAGAGATGGGGTGGCAAAAGTCGAGTGAAATATGTGAACCAGGGAGATAGCAGACGGATCCTACGGGGCAATAGGTAGATTGTGATAAAACCTATGTAAAGAGGACGGCGTAGCAATAGGGCAACCTCTGATCAACAGTCCCAGCACAAGGGTGAAGAAGAGTGAGGGAATATGAGATAGCCAGCGTGGAGTGTGGAGGGTTCTCATGAATGCCGCTCATAAGGGCACACCTCACTAGATTTAAATAAGCAAAAAAAAAGTGTGATAGTGAAGGTGTGATACGATGATATAAGAAAGGTGAATAGCCCAAGACGGAAGATATACCACAACTGTTTAGCACATATTTGGTCAAAAGGTCGGCTTCACTTGTCTCTTTGACAAGTTGTGGTGTGGTGCTATGAATGGCAAGACTGACTGACGGTGCCGGCGAAACTTCTGGGAATGTACCATGGCTACGGTCCGACTTTGGAAATAATCGTGAATACAATGAAGTCCAGACAAAGTGCGTTCCTCTAAGTCTTTCTACCAATCAACCAAGTTGCGAAAACAAGGTCAAACAACCTCTATACAACGAAAGGAGACTGCGACCACACAAAAGGCCAAACCAACTTATTCTTCATATCTTCAAGTATACCGAAGGAGGCTGGCAGACGGACTTTATGACAATAAGAAATACAGAGACAAAGTTAAACTGATAAAGCGCTACCGTACAAGTAGCATAGATGCACTGAGATGTAATCTTGATAATGTAAGACCTAGGAACAGTACAGTCGACGATTGCTCGGTTGGAAATAGTAAATGGGTGGAAAAGTTGGCAAAATTACGCGAAGATGTAAAAGGTCGGCCATTCGACATTTGTTAGGTGTCTCGTCTAGAATCGGACGTTGCTCGCAACGGTTGTAAGAGTGAGTTTGGAGTCCACATATCAATTGCGCACACAAGATGTGAATTGGCGAGAAAGCAGATAAATATAGAAGACTAGTCTAAGCTATAATTAAGGCAAATCTAGTGGAGAAGAGATTTTGGAATTGAGTTATGCAACATGCCATCTCGCCAAGAGGAGGGGGTATCGACATAGTTCTGCCGTTACGGAAGCATAATGTCCTGAGGACAGCAGCTGCCTAGCCTAAATGCTCAGAAGATGAAAAGATAAACATCACGTTTATGTTTTTGGAGGGTCTACTAAACGAACCATGTACATATGAAAGAAAAAAAGAGTGGGTCTACAGCTCGCATCCTGTGCGTCTTAATCATACAGTTTATAATCAATAAACTAGGCAAAATTAAGGCAGAGCAAGAGATCAACAAGTTAAAGTCGTAATGCATGACCTACGCAGTAGGGTAGAACAAAAAGTAAAGCAGATACGAAGAAAAACTGGGTTTCGATGAATCTCCTGAGATAACATTGTTAGAAGGACCTTCATTTCGTAGGAAAATGCAAGAAGAAGAGATTCGTTGGTCGATCTCATCTTTTGGTTCAGATTGGTCAATATAAAAGGTAAGAAAAGCCGGATATTCTTCTTGGCA